TTTTTTTATTTTATATTTTTTCATATTTTTTTTAATATATTTAATTGAGTAGCGAGGCCCAGTTCGTACCAAATATCAGCTGGAGACTCAAGTTTTCAAAATTCTTTTTTTTTATTTTATTTTTTTATTATTTTGTATTTTTCATATTTTTTTTATATATATTTAATTGAGTAGCGAAGCCCAGTTCGTACCAAATATCAGCTGGAGACTCAAGTTTTCAAAATTTTTTTTTTTATTCAATTTTTTTATTTTATATATAATTAATTGAGTAGCGAGATCCAGTACGTACCAAAGATCAGCTGGAGACTCAAGCTTTTTTAAAAAATAATTTGTATATAATATAGTGTTCAGAAATGACCTGATCATTTGACCATTTAAATGATTTGTCTATTCCTTTATTATAATCATAAATTATTTAGCATTTATCATTTGCTTTTACAAAAAATTTAGTGATACTCTTAAAGAATCGCAAATTCTTAGCGAGTTTCGCAATTTTATCTCCTAATGATAAAGAATCATTTCAAAGGATAATAGAAGGATCGTTCTGGTAGAACAATAGAGAAATCGTTCTAAAGGAACAATTAAAAGCATCGTTTCCCAAGAAACATAAAAGATCGTTCTATCAGAACAATGAAAAAAATCGTTCTTTAAGAACAATAAAAGATCATTCTAAAGGAATGATACAAAAAAATTGTTCCAATAGAACGATAAATCAACATTCTATCAGAATGATAAAAAAAATTGTTCCTTAAGAACGATAAAAGGTCGTTCTATCGGAACAATGAAAAAAATCATTTCTTAAGAATGATAAAAGATTATTCTAAAGGAACGATAAAAAAAATCATTCCAATAGGACGATAAAGATTGTTCTAAAGGAATGATACAAAAAATTGTTCCAATAAAATGATAAATCATCATTCTATCAGAACGATAAAAAAAATCGTTCCTTAAGAACAATAAAAGATTGTTCTAAAAAAACGATACAAAAAAATCGTTCCAATAGGACGATAAAGATTATTCTAAAGAAACAATACAAAAAAATTGTTCCTTAAGAATGATAAGAGGTCATTCTATCGGAACAATAAAAAAAATCATTCCTTAAGAACGATAAAAGATCGTTCTAAAGGAACAATAAAAAAATCATTCCAATAGGACAATAAAGATCGTTCTAAAGGAACGATACAAAAAAATCATTCTTTAAGAACGATACTACATCGTTCTATCAGAACGATAAAAAAAATCGTTCCTTAAGAATGATAAAAGGTCGTTCTATCAGAATGATGCTTTTAATCATTTTTTTAGAATGATTCTTCTATTATTCTATCGGAACGATGCTTTTAATTGTTCCTTTAGAATGATTCTTCTATCATTCTATCAGAACGATGCTTTTTATCGTTCCTTTAGAATGATTCTTCTATCATTCTATTAGAACGATACTTTTAATCATTCTTTTGAACATAACTAAATAATTATTCAATTTTTAGCTTGAATTTGGCACTTGACTTGACTTGTCTGACTCATAATTAAGTCGACTCGTTTGGAACTCGAATATAATTTAATATACTATTATATACTATATAAAATATTTGCCCAATATGAAATATTTTTTTTAATATATATAATTAAATATTTTAATAAATTTAACTTATTTACACTATAATAAACAAAATAAATAATAAAAATTTACAAAAAATACTATATTTAAAAATTATTAAAATAACTGGTCATTTAATAATTAAAATAACAGTTATTTGTTACTTGTTATTTGTATTTGCCAGTCATAATCATTTGGTGAATATTGGTTTAAATTGGTCTTTTTAAATTCATATTTTAAAATAAACCAAAAATTAGATTGGCCTTTAAACTGAATTATTTATTTAAAGGACAATATATTTTTATGTATTATGATAATTTTTAGATTATGTGTATTTTTCTACCCATTCATATGATCATAAACCAATAAATATTCAAACATTTTATTATTTCACACTTCTATTTTTTTTATTTCTTATTACATTATACAAAACAACTAACAAACTTAATCAAGACTATATAAAACATAATGATTATATACTTGATATAATGGTAGTTTCTGTTTCCAAGTGTTAAATTATTTTTGATGAGAGTATAAGAATAGAAATATAGTTTTGAAATCAGATTTTTTCTCCTATATATAATGATAAGTATAATAAAATTGAATTGTATATATAGTATGTAATATTTATACTGTAAATTTATATTTAATTATTATATTTTTTAAGCTAATTTTAAAATTATTTTATAACAAAATTTTAAATATATAAGGGGTTGGATAGGTTAATTTTTAACTTTTAATTTTGTTTAATTTTAATGCCAATACCATTGATGAAAATTATTTTATGATAATTATAAAATCTTGAAAAACTCCTTTTTCTAATTGAAAATAATATATTTAATATTTTATTAATGTTATAAAAAAATAAAGTCAGCGAATGTCGTTAATGAAAGGGTTAATGTTATATTTTTGATTTGTATTCGATTAATAGTAATACTTTATAACGAAGTACTATTAAGATAATTCTTCAATTTATATAATTCTCTTTTCAAAAATAACTCCACAAGCGCTTGGGAATGTTACCGGACCAATTCTCAATTTTTCTTCAATTTCACCACTTTCTGTACGGAAATTATAATTTAATATCACATTATGCATAAAGAATTTAATTTCATTAATCGCAATAAATCTTCCAGGGCATCTAGGTAATTTACGAAAATTTAATTATCATTTATTCTTAGTTGTGAAAAGTCAGTTTAGCCGAACATTATACTTACGCATGTTTATAACCTCCGAACACCAAATATTCTCGACTAACCTTTGTTGCCAGAGAATTTTTATTTACATGTCTAAATGGTTCAAATGATTTCGGATTTGGCCCTTGTAATGATTCATCTTGATAAATATCATCAAGATATAATTCAACTATATGATTTTTAGGTACTTGTAACCCATTTGAAAATGTATAATCTTTTAATAAAAGATGAGGAAGTAATGCTATATCTCCAGTTAGTCTTAATGATTCTTTGACAAAGCTATCTAATTTTTTCATCTTATTAAGAGCCGCAAATTGAAGTATACCATTTTTATCTACTTCCTTATAAACTTCTAATTGTTCTTCATATAATTCTTGCATGTATTCAGGTCGAGATGCCAAATCGATAAGAGCATTTGTACAAGCTCTTGATGTTGTATGAATAGATACAAAAGTAAATTTCAACATTTTATCAGCCAATTCGGCGTAATTAATGTTATTAGGATCAAAGGTATTTTCTTCTATAAAATCTTGAAGCAAGTCATCGGGACGTTTCCACGAATCACAATATTCTCGCTTTTCTTTTAATCGTTTATCAACTTGATTTTTTATATGTTTAATTAATATACCTCGATGTTTGGCAGCTGGATTGTATAAACCTAATTTAACCGGAATACGATTAACATAATTTTGAAGTCCCGGATAAATAAAGTCAAGGATTGGCGGTATTGCATAAAATAATACAACTTCACAGTTAAATTCTGCAAATGTGATTATAACCTCGTCACTCTTTGATTCCTCCTAAATAAAAAAATAAAAATTTAATAAGAATTGCCTTGTATTTTTTTAATTAAAAAATAAATAAATAAATAAAATAACCCGAACGATTAGCTTACTTCACCAATAAAAAGATTTGCAATTGGAGCAGCGATAACTTTTGTCAAAAGATAGAACAAATGATTTTGAACTTTCTGTTCTTTACATTCACCGATATATCTTTGAATACCCAATTGAAGGCTCTTTTGCATACGTTCATTATATAATTCTGATCTTTTAGAGATATAATCTTTAACTACCATTACGTTATATCTCGTATCTCCAGATTCATTTATATACATAACATCTCCTGGAATTGTCCTTTTGAATATTTCTTTCAAGTTAAATTCATCCCTTCCAAATACTTCATTAACATGCTCTTTTCCTATAAATTAGTATAGTATCAAAAGGATTTGTTTTATATCTTGATTTAATTTGACATTTGCGCAATGTAGGTTAATTTTTTAATGGTATTATAAATCGTGAACTCAAAACTTACCAACAAAAGTTATGACTTTACCCCAAATATATAAACTAAAAACATCACCGTACTAATATAATAAATACGATATTAGTGGACGTGGCAAATAATCATAAGGAAAGTCATATTTTAACCGACCTCTTTTCTACATTTTTTAAGGAATTCTTCGCTATTATACAAATAACTATAAGTATGACCAATAATTGGAATATTATAACGAACGAGCGGTGGCATTTTCTAATATAAAAAAAAATAAAAGAAAAGTTAAAAATCCTACACGAATAAAGTAAATGTTATTCTTACCAATTTTGGGTTACGTGGATGCTTTAAAATGTAAAGAAGCATTGCCATTAGAATGCATCCTAAAATTATTTGGTTCATTGCGAAAGAAATAAGTTTTACTTTTTTTT